GTCTTCCTTGCAGAAAGCTGGATATGTGCCTGGGGAGGTGCGGGCTGACTCGCCTTCATTCCTTCCAGCCATGGACTGAAAACCAGATAAAAATATACTTTGCGGTGTCACTCTCTCTCTCTCTAGCACACACACACACACAGGGATTAATCACACATATATGTATATATTAATGATTAACCACACACACATATATATATTATTGCACACTTTTAAAGTTATTATAATGAAAGTTTACAAAGATACTGGTTTTTATTCATTCATTCACACGCATTTTTCTCCTTCCTTCTCCCCCAATTCACTTTGTAATGCTTGTTTTATTCTCATTGTTAGTTTTCATACACATAATGATCAAATCACCCATTCTGTCCTTTCTTCACCTATTCCAACCACTTACATATTTTAAGGCATTTTTTGTTAAAGTCCAGCGTGCATCTCTAGTGCATTTGGACAGATCGTGAGGATGATGTGGATAAAAATAGCCTTCTGCGGCTGAGGGAAGAGGTAGAGGAGGAGAAGATGTGAGAGCTTCTCTGTGCTGTGGCCAGTGTCAGCCAACTGGCCCTGCGAGGCAGAGGTCGTGCATTGTGGCGACAGAGAACAGGCACTGAAGCAGGACTATCAACTGAACTCTTGATATTTGGTGTGAAAAATAGAGAAAAAAAAGGTCATATTTATTTTAGAGATTGACGAGCCTTGTAGAGCATCTTTTACCCATAAATGTCACCAATGTCTAAAAGAACAGTGATCTACACTTAGCTCTCCTTAAGCCTCCGTTCCCCAGAGTCCCTTGTCCCTGCCACCTTGGGTTCCTTGAGGTTACTAGCCTCTATCCTACTCCAGTGTCTGCTTCACCTGGGCTCCAGGATTTGTTCCTCCTGTCCCTCGGCCTACATATCCTTTGTTGTTTTTGTCCGAGACTCCTAGCGAACCTATGCACAACAGCTCTGAACCCTGCCCTATCCTAAGCCAACCTTATTGTCTTTGACACACCTACCCCCATTATCCCAGTCACTGAGTCAATCCATCTCATCCAGGGTCTTCCTCTCTTGTGCTGTTCCTCCACCCTCCCAAGCATGACGTCCCTCTCTAAGGACTGGTCCCTCCTTGCAACATGCCCAAGGTATGTCAGAGTTTCAGAATCCTTGTCTCCAAGGAGCAGCTTGGTTTCTTCCTCTCCAGGATGAACCTGTTTGTTCTCCTAGCAGTCCATGGTATATTCAATACTCTTCTCCAGCACCACAACTCAAAGGCATCAATTTACTAATCCTTTAGGGCTCACTCACTACTGCTGAGACCATTCCACCTTGCAGCAACCTTCCATCAGTCTCGAAGGTTGTCATTCTTCAGGGGATGAGACTGCCCACCACCCTCCCATAGAGCTACTAGTGGATTTGAACTGGTGGAGACATTTGGACTTTTTGGTTAGCAGAAGGAAACACTATAGCCTACATCACCAGAGCTCCTTGAACCTGGAGAAAGGATGAAAGTCACACAAGTGTTGAGGACTTTCGTTCATAGGGTCACTATGAGTTGCCTATGACTCGATGGCACTTAACAACAATAACACCAACATAGAGAGAGATCAGTTGGCCTTGTAGACAGAAAGCGATGCTATCAAGCCAATGATGGGTGACTTCTAATCCGCGACCCTCAGGCCTGTTTTTCATTGTTTTGGTTCAAACATTCTTCTAGGTCGTATAGCCCTAGTGTGTCCACTTGCCGTACAGAGGTAACTCATGGTTGCTGTGAATCTGAACACCGTGACACTGATGTGTCAAATGCATTAACAGTTACCCATGTCGGACAGTGTTTGGTGGCGTTCCCCAATTAAAACAAGCTTGGAAGGAGGAGTGGCATCCAATCCTGTAATAGCTTGTCTCCAGAAACCCTATGAACCTGGAGAGAGGATGAGAGACACCCAGCGTTGAGGACTCTCCTTCATAGGGTCACTTTGAGTCACCTGCGACTCGATGGCACTTAACAACAACAGCAACATGGTGAACAGTGTTTGGTGGAGCTCCCCGATTAAAACGAGTTTTGAAGCAGGAGTGGCATCCACTTCCGTAATAGCTTGCCTCCAGAAACCCTGTAAACATGGAGAGATGATGAAAGTCACACAAGCGTTGAGGACTTTGGTTCATAGGGTTGCTATGAGTAGCCTACAACTCGACGGCACTTAACAATAGTGAAAATAAAAAACCTCACTTCTCCCACAAGCACATTGCAGATGTTAACCTGTTAAATCCTCACATCACCTTGGCAAGTGCTGTTGTTGTTGTTGTTGTTGTTGCTAGGTGCCGATAAGTCAACTGCTTTGACCTATAGTGACTTCATGAACAACAGTTCTGAACCTCACCCTGTCCTTCACCATCCTCGCTATCCCTGACGTACATGAGCCCATTGCTACAGTCACTGTGTCAGTCCAGCTTGTTGAGGGTCTTCCTCTTTCTCTGACCATCCATCTTACCCAACATGAGACCTTTTTCCAAGGACTGGCCTCTCCTAACACGCCCAAACAATAGAAGGCAGAGCCTGACCATCCTTGTCTCTAAGGCCCATCCTGGTTGACTTCCTCCAAAACAGACTTGTTGGTTCTCTTGGCAGATCGTGGGATGTTCAAAACTCTTCCTCTAACACTCAAAGGTCTTGATCCTTCTTCTGTCATCCTTGTTCACTGCCCCACTTTCAGATGCATAGGAAGTAACTGACTTGATCCTGGGTATATAGACACTATTTTTATGTTCATGATGAGAAGCTGAGACACAGAGAGTTTAGGTAATCGGTCCAGGTCCCCCAGGTAAAGATGGATAACATTTGCAGCCAGAATTAACACAGGTTCCAAGTGTTCTTTACCCCCACTGAAAACTACCTCCTCCTATCTGTTCCTGGTCAACTCCCCTGGCCCTGCCCGTGTTGGGATTCTCCTGTGATTCTCCCCTTACCCTTATCATTTCCCTGTGATTTACCAATGTGTTTTCAGTTTCTCTTTTCTGGACTGCTCCCCATTAGCCTGTGCACTTTAGGGCTGGACCCTTGACTGGTCATTGCTGGTCCCTTGACTGGTCATTGCTGGTCCCTTGACTGGTCATTGCTGGTCACAGCTCGTCAGAAGGGTCTGGCACATAGTGATGTTGTTGTTGTTGTTGTTGTTGTTAGGTGCCATCGAATCGAGTATGACTCATAGCAACCCTATGCACAAAAGATCTGAACTCTGCTCTATCCTGCACTATCCTCTCACTTCCTGATACACTAGAGCCCACTGCAGCGGTCACCGTGTCAGTCCACCTGGTTGAGGGTCTTCCTCTCCTTTGCCAACCCTCCACCCTTCCCAGCATCATGTCCTTCTCCAAGGAATAAAAGAACAAGGCAATGCTCACTGTTTATTTGCTGACTGAGAGGATAAATAGCTGAATAGATAGTAAAAACCAATCCCCTGAGTAATCAGGAAAAAACAAGAACAGTCTCCTCCAGTGTAGTTTATAGCCCCTGAGACCCAGTGTAGTATACAGCTTCTGAAACTCAGTGTAGTTTATAGCCTCTGACACCAGGTGTAGTTTACAGCCTCTGACACCAAGTGTAGTTTATAGCCTCTGAAACCAGGTGTAGTTTACAGCCTCTGACACCAGGTGTAGTTTATAGCCTCTGAAACCAGGTGTAGTTTACAGCCTCTGACACCAGGTGTAGTTTACAGCCTCTGAGACCAGGTATATAGTTTACAACCTCTGAGACCCGATCAGGCACAAGTCACTTCAGATTAGACAATAATGAGATTTTGAGTTTTGAAATCAACAAAACCAACAGGCCAACATCTGGCACGTAAGCTGAAGGGTCAGAGAGCTGACTTGGATCCTTCTGGCATGTGGCTGGAGGCCAAGAAGAACAAGCCAACTCAAGATCTTTGTCTCCCGTTGGGGGCTAATGGAGCGGGCAGTGTCTACATTGACCTGGGCCCATTGAATCCGGTGTAGGTCACGGGTGTCCGTCTTCAGGTTACAAAGGAAGGAGGACTGTTCCCTCTCGGGGTGGAGCACAGCAACACTGGGGAAGGGGACGCAGTGCCTCGTGATCTGGTAGCTGAACGTTTCTCAGTAAGGTGTTGCTCAACACTTCTCTCTCTTTTCTTTTTTTATTATTAAATTTTATTAATTTTAATGAACATTTGTAGAGACTTTGGGTTTTCATTCATTCATTGTTGCACTATTTTCTCTACCCTCCTCCCAGTTCGTTCTTCTTTTTTTCCCCCCTTGAAAGTCTGTTTTAATTGTCCATTTGCCACAGTGCTTGTCAAAGCCAGTTCTGATTAATCTCCTTTGTCAGTGTGTCCTTTGCCATCCCTATCACTCCTCTCTGAGAGAGATTTCACCCCGATTCACAAGGAAAAGGGGATGGCATATTCTCTTAGCTACTTCCTGCTGAAAAGGGATGCTGTAGGTTTCAAGGTGAAGATCTTCTCTCACTACTCTAAAGGGCCCCTTTGGCAATAGGAAACAGGTAGACTATTGTGGAGAAGCAGGTAGACTATTGTGGAGATTGATTTTGGAATTTAGATGCACTGTTACCAATTGTGCTTAGCCTTATGCTTCTCTCTTTTTTGTTTTGTTTCCTTCTGACTTGCGTTTTGTGCTGTAGAGCAAAGAGTACCAGAGCCTGCATCTCCTTGCCTTTGTAGCAGAGCATATGCAACATGGACTATTGTGTTCTCTGCATTGCTGACAACTCCACTTTCCAATCGCTCCTCAGTCTGTGTGTCTCCTACTGGAGCGGACACCGTCTCACAGTCAGCCATTGCCTCACGTGTGTCCACAGATGGTGTGCGACCAGCACGACCATACTGACCCCTCCCCACGTTCCTTCAAGCAGGTGCAGCCGTGTGGGCCTGGCCATTTTGTTTCAGGAGACACAGTGGAGGGGAGGAAGGAGGTGTGTGCCAAGTTTCTTTGCTCCTGTCTTCACCTGGAAATGGATGGTTGGTCTGACAGGATTTCTTCTTCCTGCAGGGAGGAAAGATCCCCGTGAGATGGACAGCTCCAGAGGCCATCGCCTACCGCAAGTTCACTTCGGCCAGCGACGTCTGGAGCTATGGGATTGTCATGTGGGAAGTCATGTCCTTTGGAGAGAGACCATATTGGGATATGTCCAATCAAGATGTGAGTGCCAGTTACATGCGGTTGCCACCAGTGCTCATTGAAACCTTTTAAGATGTCTTCAACTCGGGTCCTCCGAACCTGTTTTGGGCCAGAGTTACAGATGTTGATACTAATGTTTGAATTAACCATAGAATTTATGACAGCATTGTGACATTCCCAACCATCTGTAAAGATGCCCAGGCCACAGACTCCAGCCCACAGGTAAAGGGCTGGCTACAAGAGGCCATGGAGCACGGCAGTCGATGAGACTCAAACTTAGTCTAGTAATTATACCCACTTCAGAGGCCCAGCCTCTGAAATATTCCTCACCAGCCCTGGTAGAGAGGAATAACACTGTTTGGGAGTTCTGCTCAGGCTCTTGCCCTACCTCCCCCAGGACAAACCCTTATTCCTCAGAGTCCCCACCTCCAAGTATCCACCCTTCAGTGAACTGTGTTACCTGTCAAGGAAGGAGGTGCTGAGAAAGTGTCCCAAGGCTAGTCAGATTCAGATTGGTCAGTCAGGGACTCCGTCTGCAGGAAGGTCAACTCCTGGTTGCCTGCAAGGAGCAAGGGTGAGATAGGGGAGGGTCTGTTGAAATGCTTAGGGTCGTGGTATCTTCAAGTGAAAAACCTCGTATCGTCAAGCTGAAAGCAACCCATAGCTGACCCTGCAGCGTGTGTCCAAGGCTGTGCATTTTAACAAGGGTTGATAACGTCTTCCATGGAGAGGCTGGGGCATTCGAACCTCTTGAGAAGTTCAGCCTTTGGACTAGCAGAGTAACTCCCGAGGTCTAGGCTCCCTAGTCCGTCTTGGGGGTTTGGAAATGGGACGCTTTGTCCCATCATTGAGAGAGGGTAAGGCAGAATCATTAACAGAGGGTAAGTGTTGAGGAACATTTTCTCTGGTACAGCCCCAACCTAACTTTGTTTGTGGATTTCAGCTCTGCCTTTGACACTTGACTAGTCCCCTGTGACCACCCCCTTTGTATTGAAACCCCTCCCCTTGGAGCTGAGGAGAGTGTTGTTGTTAAGTGCTGTAGAGTCATAGACAACTCATAGCAACCCTATGAACAAAAGGCCTGAGCACTGTTCATAGAGTTTCCAGAGGCATGACATTTCGGAAGCGGATGCCACTCCTGCTTCCAAGCTTGTTTTAATCAGGGAGCTCCACCAAACACTGTCCACCATGGGTAATTATTAACGCATTTGACACATCAGTGTCGCAGTGTTTAGCATCACAGTAACCACTAGTTATCTCTGTACAGCAATGCACAGACCATTGCTATATCACCTAAAAGAATGTTTGATAGAAAAACAATTTGAACCAGGCCTGAGGGCCGCAGATTAAAATCCCCCACCTTGGGCTTGGCAACATAACTTTCTATCCACTAGGCCAACATAGCTCTCTCTATGTAGGTGATATAAAGCCTGCTTGTTGTATTAGCTTGCTGATTCTTTCATGCCTTGATTGTTCTTATGTTCTGTTAAGTCAGAACCCACCCATAGCTGACCATTTTCCAGCAGGTTTGTGGAGCCTGTAAATCACGTGGGAGGAGAATGACCATCTTTATCCCATGGAGCAGCTGGTGCATTTGAACTGTGTGACTTTGGGCTGGCAGTACAACTCTTTACCACTAAGCCACAAAGTTCCCTTCTCATGACCGTGTTGTTATGTGCTTTCGAGTCATTCACTACTCATAACAACAGCTCTGAACACTATCTTGAGCTGATTTCATTGTCTCTGACACACCTGCTCTCATTAATCCAGGCACTGAGTCAATCCATCTCATCCAGGGTCTTCCTTTCTTGCACTGTCCCTACACTCTTCCAAGCATGATGCTCCCTCCAAATAGTGGTCTCTTCTGGCAGCATGTCCAAAGTAGGTCAGACAAAGTTTCAAAATCTTTGCCTCCAAGGAGCAGCCTGATTTCACCCTCTGCAGGACAGACCTGTTTGTTTGTTCTCTTAGCACCCATGGTATGTTCAGCACTCTTTTCTAGCACCATAACTCAAAGGGTTCGAGTCTTCTAGTTATTGTCCAGCTTGCTGATGCATAGCAAGTAATTGAAAAGACCATGGCCTGGATCAGGCTCACCTTTGTGTCTCTACATTGACATCATTGCTTTTTATTACTCTGGAGAGGTTCCTGACAGCAGATTTTTCCCAGTGCAATTCATCTTTGGATTTCCTGAATGCTGGTACCAAGAGTGTTGGTTGTAGAGTCAAGCAAGCTAAAGCTGTCAACAATCTGAATCTCTTTCCCGTTTATCATGATGCTGCCAACTGGCCCAGTGATGAGAATCTTTGTTTCCTTGATGTTGAACTTTAATCCATATTGAAGACTACAGTCCTTGACATTCTGCAGCAAGTGCCTCATGTCCTCCTCAGATCCAGCAAGCAAGGGAATTATTATTTTTCAAAGAAGGAAGCAGTAGGGGGTCAGGTGCTTCTCGAACAGTACACAGGGGAGACCCGGGTTTGAATCCCAGCCAATACACCCACAGTGGAGCCCTGTGCTTTGCTATGATTCTTAACAAGTGTCCTTAGAGCTTCTATCCTGAGATGAACTAGGAAGAAAGGCCAACAGCCTGTTTCCAAAATCATCCAGTGAAACCCCTTTGATCACAGCAGTCTAATCTACATCTGATCATGGGACCTAGCAGCGTTTAGTGTCCTGCTTTTCATGGGGTCACGATGAGTTGGGGGCTCGTTGATGGAACCTAAAAACTGAAATACAGGAAAGATGAAATAAGTCTTTCCTCAGTCCAAATCTAGGTTCACTGGGCAACCAGCAGCAGTCAAGCGTCTCCATCCCATGGAACTGCTGAAAGAAGAAACGGTAAGGCTGTGTCCTGGAGAGTGTGCGGCCAGAGTGCTCCTTGGCGACAGGGATGATGAAGCTGCTTCTCACATACTCCGGGCAGGTTGTCAGGAGAGGTTACTCCTTGGAGAAGGACATCATGCTTGGAAAGGTGGAGAGCGAAGGAGGGGAAGACCCTCAACCAGGTGCATTGACATCGTGGCAGCAGCAATGGGCTTGAGAGTGTCAGAGGTGGTGAGGATGGCACAGGACAGGACAGGGTTCAGATCTGTTGTTCATAGAGTTGCTATGAGTGTTCTCGACTTAACGACACCTAACAACAACACAGTGACATGGTGGTTAAGGGGACGTGCTCCCCACCCAAAAGAACGCAGTTCGAATTCACCAGCTCTCACCGGGAGAAAGATGAGCCGTCTCCTCCAGGGTGATTTCCTGCCTCTGACAACCCACTAGAGGGTCGGCTATGAGTTGATTTTGACTCAACAGTACACATCAACAATAACAATACTTGGGTGGACCCTGAGGCATTGATAAACTTGTGTTATATGTCCTAGAGAAGCTGTCTAAACAGAAGTTTGATTCCTTGGCATTTACTTAGAAGAGAGAGACAGGTTGTAATCAAAGAGCATGGGAAACATCCCCCAGTGAGGCCGTGCAAGAGGAGTTGAGGTGGTACTGAGACAAAAAGGCTTTCTTCCTGGATGGAGAGCCCAGTCCAGAACTGGCCAAACAATGGCATCGGGCATCCTTCAGCAGGTCTCCATGCCAACCCAGGCATCTGGGTCCCCTATTATCCGTGATTATCCACACCCTGCCTCTGCTTCTGCAGTGTGTCAAATCAGTAAGTGGCAGAATTGACACCCAGCCTGCTCTGATGAAATCAACTTGCTCCCTGGTTCCGTCCGTGCCATCAGCTAGATGAGGACTAAACGTTAGCCAGAGAAAGCGAGCCCATCTTGTGCTGCCCGGAGATGCTAATCCGATTAAGATCAATTCAGCACACAGAGAATAGATTATGAAACTGTCTCGACAGGCAAGATTCGACGTTCAAGATAGTCTTGGGAAAATGCATTCGCCTATGCTGAAAACAAATAACATTTCTGAAATTAAGCTTCAAGAATCCCCAAATCATTCATTCAGCGAACGCTCGGTCATTGGACGCTGACTGTGACTAAGCATCGTGCTTGCTGGCTCTCACCTGGAGGGGTTTTCAGTTCACTGATGTCTATAGAGGGCTCTGGGGACCTTAATGTAGAGACGCCGAAGGGAAAGCTACCCAGATACTTGTTTGAGCTAAGTCTCAAAAGAAAGAACATCTGCAAAGCAGCAATTTATTCTAATCTTATGCTATTTCTCCAAAATACAGCCCCTTAACCATTGTCCCAAGTACAACCCTCCTAACCCCCTGTGGAAGGTGGGAGGTGACGATGCTTCTTTCAGAAAGCATCCTGGGAGTGAGCCTGGAGGGGCTTCTGGCTGTTCCAGCCGCAGCCCGGCTCATCAGAAACCAGGGGAGGTGGTGGAAGTAAAGGTTTTCACAGATGACAATTGAAAGGCTTTAAGGCGGAGAATTGCAGAGGCAAGTCAGAGTGCTGGTAATTGGGCTTCTGGAGCCCAGGAAGGTCTTTGAACATGTACAGAGAGTTTGTCAGCCAGAGAGAGAGCAACTTGGAAGTTCTGCTGCTTGGATCTGATTGACAGAGATAATGAGAGTGGCAGTGTCTGCGGAGAGAAGCTGTGGTTTTATTGAAACATCAGAGCTCAACTTAACCCCCTCTGCCCTGGTTCCTCCACTGTGCTGAGCTCCTCTACTTCAATCCCTCGGCCAGGAGGCTGAGAAGCAGTGACTGCTACCCAGCTCATTAATGGAAGTGCATGTCAGGGACCTCCAGGAGCCCCCTCTAAGAACTAAGAGCCAAGAGGAGGGGATGCGCCTTTCTTGGGGGAACCAGTCACTGCCAGCACCTCCTGAGATCATCAGTGTGGGCATCTTACCCACAGGGATTCCTCAGGGCCTTCACACCTGCCATGTATGGGCCCATAGGCACCAAGACACCCAAGTTCTCCCTGGCCCTGGCTCTTTACACTCCAGGGAGCTTTACGTGGGTCCACGGGGTGACCAAAAATGTTAGAGATTATTTCAGGGGAACCAGCAAAGTGTGCTTGGGCTGAATCATTGCCTTTCCTGTTTTATTCTT